AGGTGAAAGGCTTTGAGGAAATGAGGGTTGGGTGGCTAGCTCATTTTTTAATTACTGTTACATGTTTAATTACTGTTACTGTTACGGTGTAGGCAAAAAAAGCCTCCTATACCCTTGCAGTAAAACAGATGTAGCTCACAGTACCTTGCAGATATATGTAAAAGAAAAGGAATCTGGAACCTAAACATATTTTATGGGCCGGGGTACTGAGTAGTTGTTACAAAAGAGGCCCAGAAGAGAAAGAGAGAAACAAAAAGCAAGACCAAAGGAAAGGAGAAAATGAAACTGAAGATTAAATGCCCAAGATAACAATAATCATTTATAATATGTTTATGTATATAATTTATTTAATACATTGCCAACTTCAAAGAAAAGAATTGAAGAGGGGACCAAATTAATAACAATGAAATGCATGTTTAAATGAATTTTTGGTATACTTACCATGATACCACCATCTTGTTTTCTTGGGACTTTTGTGACAAGTTTTAACATACCAGCTATTATCAGGTGGGTGTTTCTAAAACAATCACAAAAATTTCAAAGCACTGCCTGGGTTTATGTCACAAACAGAATTACACATAGTACAAAGTTAATGATGGGTAAAAAATGCCATACAATACCATACATGTGGTTGATACAGATGCAAAAAAAAAAAAAGAACTTGGCTGATACTGTAGAATTCCAAAAGTAACGGCCCCATTACTTTCGGATATAGCAGGCAAAAGGTGCTGTTACTTTTGGGAAGCCATTGCTTTCGGATGGTTAAAAAACATTTGTATGGTAATTCACAGTCATTTCAGACAAAGTTGCCGTCGGGATTCAATAGGTAAGTAAAAAATTAATGTTACTTTCAGGGAGCCATTATTTTTTGGGGGACTGCTACTTTTGGAATTCTACGGTATCCAGCCATTTTGCCCTTACACCTGGTTGAATAAGCAACACAATTTTTAAGCATGATTAAGCATGACATTTTCAGTGTGGACAAAACTACTTGTGTAGTTAAGTAAACCCTAATCAAGTGTGGTTGATACATAATTTAAGGTTTTGCATCCCATCATTTACAAAGCAATAAAATTTTAAACTGGATTGGAATCAAACAACCATTATGGCAGTGTCTGTGTTCCAACAAATACAGTTTGACCTCTATTAAGCAGCCACCCTCGGGACTTTGAAAAGTGGCCGCTTAATAGAGGTTGGTCACTTAATAGAGGTACAATATAAATTGGATAGGAATGGCAGTAAACATGATCTCATTGACTACAGAGCAAAATGCTTTTAAAAAGTGAAAAAATATGAAGATAAATCCAAAATTCATTCTAACAAAACATCACGTGCATTTCCAGCCCATGCATAGTTCTAGCTCTAACACAGAGGGCACATAGTTGAAATGTACAGTATTTCTTCAGGTTGATAATGCACAGAAAAAATGCAAACATTGTTGATGACTTGTTATAGTGCAGATTAAATTGCAGTTCTTGTTTTCTTGTTGTTATCAGTTATCACCTTATATCATCTGTCACCATTTCGCTTGGAAAGATAATTTGCCGGCCACTTAATAGAGGTGGCCGTTGAATAGAGGTATCAAATAGAGCAGTTTACTGACAAATATATCGGGACTTTGGAAAGTGGCCGCTTAATGGAGGGTGGCAGCCTAATAGGTGGCCGCTTACTAGAGTTAGGACTGTATTTAGATAACTGCACCACAACAGTGTAAAATTGTGTGTAAATGATCATCTGATTTGAACTTACTGCATATACAAGATCAGTTTGCAATAAATCTGTCTTAAAGGTCAGCACACACAAGGAGACTAGCCCTTGCAACTAGTCCCTGCAACTAGTCCCCTGAAGAATTTACATGAAGGGACTAGTTGCAGGGACTAATCACAGGGACTAGTCTCCTTGTGTTTGCTGACCTTAAAGGCTTTCCATCACCTTACCTTTTCTTGACAGCTACTCAACATGCTAACAATACTTAGACAAACAGATTCCACTGACAGAGCAGGAGACCAGTCATCCGTCAGGATTGATAGGCAGATGTGCCCATTACTATACACATGAGGATGGACTGGAATATTTGATCCTCCAAATATAACCTGCACACAACAAATCATCAATTTTCCTTAATTACTGATTGCCATATCCTATAAAATTATGGTAAGGAACAGACCATTTTTTTTGAGGAGGGGGTTGGGCAATTTCTAGAAAAAGAAATGTGCAGCAAAAAGGGCTTAAAAGAATTGTTCAAGGGGAACCGTGAGCAAAAAAAAATAAAAAAATAAAAAAAAAAATAGCAAGTGCTTTCTATTATCCAGGTCCTGTGTTTTGACTTTTAAGAAATTCTTGCATAAGCTATTGCCCACCAAAAGAAATCATGCACAACCTAAAGGTGAGAAAATTCCCACAAAAATTGTGCTCCCCCCCC